GAGCGAAGCGTAACAGAACTAGTGCATGATCCGACTCAACGCAGGTGAACCAATAGGATCTGCAATTTTGTACTGAGCCACGCCAACGGCAGCTTACAGCTGTGTGGTCAATTTGGGTCAATGTGCTGGTTGAATTAGAACACCATGTAGCCCTTCGACGAGAGCTGTGTCGAACATTGGTGCTAGATAAGAACAGCCGGTGATCCACGCAGAACTGAAGTAGTCGATCACCGTTGGGTTCTCAACCAAAGCCTTCAGTTCTGACGAGAACCTAACCGCAAGGCAGCGGGTAAGGCGAATTGGAGGCCCATTAACTTGGATCAATTATTCCTCCAACACGTTTTATCGGCTGAGACGCCGACTCAAGTCGAACCTCCAACCTGGAGGACCAGGAGACTGGACTTCGTCTGACCTCTACCCATTGGCCTTCCGGGATGATTAAATCTTTGGCTCGACAAAAGCCATCCAGAATAGCCCGTTGGGTCATAGAGGTGCACAAGCCATCACACCACATCAAACTGCAGTGAAGACAGAATTGCCCCAGAACCATCATTTATAAGTTTCTTCATTGCACTTAAGAATCATACCAAAGGATTACGCCAGAAGATCCTGTCAACTGCGGAATCCATAGCAATTAGGATTATGATGCCGGAGTTCTGCAAGTAACGTAATCTCATTCAAACACTGGCGATATAAATGATTGCTGATATTTCTGACACTTTCTGTTCTCTCTCCTCACTCATTCAATATCCATTCTCTCACACCTGTTTTATTCATTCTCAACTAAAATTTTTCATATTGTGTCATTCATAAATTACTCTGCTATTCCCGACCCGTTTATGGTAACTTCAGCTTGTTGTCAACGGAACATTTTGCATCGACGCACTCATTCAACATCAGTTTAAGCTTTGTATTAATCTGTTGACTAATCGAACTTTATCTGTTGTATACCAGATGGAGTAGGTAGATGAGCCCACAAAATTAAGCAGTACATTTATTGTAAACAGCAATTATGTATCCGGTTCCTAAACCGGGGAGCAAGCAGAGACGGACAACGGAGGGCAGGAGAGCAGGCAGGCCGACACCGGCTCACGTCGCGGTATATCCGAATGCCGTCAAGGCAGCATTCAAACAGTCAGCCAATCGATCAACCAATCAGTCTGGTCACAGGCATGTATGGTAAACGTATCAGTCAGTGGTGGGCCACAACAATATGTAAATTCCTGAAGCGAAATATCAAAGAGAAATTTCTTCGCGAATAACGTGATTCGATTATCTTGCCGAGTTGAAAGTAAGATGATAGATCCGCATAAGTGTCGTAAACAGTAATGTTTATGCACGTTCTCAATTATTTTCCCATCTTATTCTACCAGAATACTGAGTTTTCTCATTAACATTTCTGCACCCATTTGGAAGACGATCCTTCCTCTCTGACTAGTTCTTCTCAACCCCGAATAATCCCAGATGCCTCCCTTTTACTCCATTCATCGAATATCACTCAGCGTTTTATCACCAAGGCCAGAGATTCAGAAGCTATAGGATTTTTAAAGCCAAAATCCCCTTTTCACTTGACCACGTTCAATGTCCGCACGCTCTCAGATTGGCCAACAAGCTGCCATGGCTAAAACTCGCGAAACTTTCAATGTAGATATATGTTGTGTCTCCGAAACATGCATACTAGACCCCACTTTCATTATCTCTCTGCGTATTCTGATCCAACCTCACACTTCACCCTTCGTGTGTTAGGCGATTCGGCATCCGAAGCTCGCGGTGTTGCTGGTGTCAGGATTGCGCTAAGTGCCAAGGCTGAGCGCTCGCTTCTTGACTGGACAGTTTCCTTGCCTCCCTTCCATCAAACTCAACCTCATCTTTTGTGGTCTGTGGATTTTCATTGTCGAACAGTGTGTGATAAAAACCGAAAATGAAGACCCACTGATTGCATAAACTAAAACGGGAATTGTAGAATTAATGAGAATTCCTAGGAGATTGTATCTAGCTGTACAACCATAAGAGAGTGACACGACAAAACGGTCAGCTTGAATATTCAAGATAGGCTGTATTTGGCATTCGGGTTTACACAGCAGTGAACTATAAACAAACTTTCTCTCCATGCCATTAATGTAACACCTTTTTTTTCTTTGCAGGTACCTATGCGAACAAATCGTTCCGGGAAATCGTGTCACAATTGTCGGTATCTATTGCATTCGTTCACTGGCACCCACTAAGGTAAGCTTATTCCACCAGATTTCTATCGTGTAGTATCTTTCATCATGCAGTATCAGCTTATTACGATGTCCTGTTCATAATATTTTGTTCAATCATAAACTTCTTGATATTCAGGCCCATTCCGCTGCGGGTGAACGGGGTAACATGGCTGTGCGTCAGCCGTACGTGCGTGTTTTGGGCTTAAGCATCGACACCGAAGGACCTGGGCGCAGTGGTCTTGGTTCAAGTTCTATGATTTTGTCGAACTCATCCACCACATTCACTGAGGCTGAAGAGGAGGAACTGATAGCTCTGGCCAATTCACCTGGTATTTACGAACGACTGGCTCGCAGTATTGCACCTTCAATTTTCGGCAGCTTGGACATCAAAAAAGCTATCGCATGCCTCATGTTCGGTGGATCTCGGAAACGGTTAGTTTCTTGAAGTTATCGCTTTTCTGGACTGTTTTCATTGTCATAATTGGAAGCGCCGTATCTGTAAAGATTGGTGTAAATAATAATAATTGGAAGCCGCAACGTACCCAAACAGCCTTCTGCGTTAAATGTCCGCACAAAGCTTGAAAAATATAAGCATTGAGCCACTCAATTATAAACAAAATAGTTAGGAAGCGGTAGACGGATGTTATCTCAAATCGTTGCTCAAGCGAGGAAGTTTTCGGTTACTTTGTCGATTCTATTTTGTTTGCAATTTAAACAACTGCTATTTTGTCTTCAGTGGTAAATGCAGAATAATTGCAAAAGCCGATGGACATAGAAACGACAAAGACCCAGTAGTCAGACTGTTTGACGTACAATTAGGTGATAAGCACAGTTAGGAGAACGAATGCAATGTGAAATGTTTGAGTAGATCAGCCGAACGGCTAGTTACAACGTAGATTTTCATGCTATTGTTTTCTCAGTTACCGCAACTGATTAAGATGCATGATTAATTATTGTAAAGGAGTGTCTTGTGTCTTCCTTCTTGTTAGCCTGCCTGATGGTTTATGTCGTCGCGGTGATATCAACATGCTGATGTTAGGAGATCCCGGAACTGCCAAGTCCCAGTTACTGAAGTTCGTGGAACGTTGTGCTCCCGTGGGTATCTACACCTCCGGCAAAGGAAGCTCAGCGGCAGGTTTAACAGCTTCGGTCAACCGAGATCCATCATCAGTGAGTATCTGAGCGTTTTTTCGGGGTTATTGTTTTACGCTTGGTCTGAAAATAAATATTCATTCACGGTTGTTTTTCAGCGAACCTTTGTGATAGAGGGCGGCGCTATGGTCCTCGCTGACGGTGGTGTTGTCTGCATCGATGAGTTTGACAAAATGCGCGAAGACGACCGAGTTGCTATCCACGAGGCGATGGAACAACAAACTATTTCAATTGCAAAGGTACTTTTTGTGATATATGAGGTAGCCGTTCCTTTCTTCCGTCATAGCCATCCTCTGTTTCGCGATTTCGGTTTGATTCACTGATTTTGTTTGGTTGGTGTTAAGTGCAACAATTTTCATACTTCACTGCACAGACAAGTCAGATCCTGGTTGGTAAACAGTTCCACTTTCGTTTTTCTCCATTGTATTCGATTTAAGGTAACAGTTTTATTTGTTCTCCATTCAAGGGCCGGCGACTATGTTCCTCGTTTCCATCACCGACCAGTAGATACTCAGAAATGAGTTTCGTGTTTCCCACTGTTCTTGTTGCTAAAACAAAAATGCATAAAGTCGAGTTAGGGTCACAGATAGGAGCTGCGCAATGTGGCTAAGTAGTTGAATAATGAGGTCAGATTTAGATCGGCGGATTCCACTTCTTCAGCTTGTAGTCCAATTGTTCAA